AGCTCATAATATGCACTTGTGTAGGATCACCGTGGAAACCAATTTTCTCAGAAATACCTATAACTACGAGTGCTTTCTTGACATTTTTCAATGGAATCTTTTTAATAGAAATTCCTCATAATTTCCATTCTTATATTCATGTATTATCTTAAGCTTGTAAATTAAGCATCTGCAAGATTGTACAAACCTGGATGTGTTTCTACCAGAGAAATTACTTAGCTACTTCAGGAGGAAGTGAAAAATTCAGATGATCAAAGTAATCGCAGAGGATCATCTGTAAAAATTTAATGAAGTAACTGCTACTTTAAGCTTAAATACAGACAGAAGAGTTCAAAAGGTTTTTGTGTAAATGGACACAAAAATGCTTCTTACTCCTACAATTTGAAAGTAGAAAATTAGACACTAGGAATGTAGTTATTCAATATTAATGTCAAGCAAAATTGATTAACTACATATGAAAATACACTCCTATAAACACTTTCTTTCCACATAATTTTTTTTTTTTCAGACAGGAAAGTCCTAAACAGCTATGGAAAATAATTCAGCTAATTCACAGGCATACATACTATTCTGTTAGCACTGATTTGAGTCCTTGGTCTCACTTCTAATAGGAAGATCCAAGAGAGGACTGAAAAATGTAAACATTGTTTTAATCAAAACAGCTGTAGAAAACCCAACCCAAACAAAAAAAGACCCATACAAGACCCACACCCCAAAACCAAGATATAAATCAAAGAAGTCATTAAGAAAACAAAAAAAAAAGGTAAAGAGGTAAAAAAATTTCAAGTACTGATCACTGCTGTCTGCATAGCCTGTCAGTATTTCTCTTCAACATCTGTTTTGCTTCTTTTTTTTTTCTCCTTTTTATTTTCTTCTTCTTTTCTTTCTTTTTTCTTTTTTTCCTTTTTTTCTTACTTAAATATATGTATAACTTTGTGGCACAAATAAATTTAGGTTGTGAGGTTTTTAGGTGGCATAATTCTAGGTGTTGCTCACTACTGGACAATGTCAGTATTTATTCAGGGCTTTAAAAACAAACATATGTCTAAGCTCCTAATAAACATACTAGTGTACAACTCCTTACTTAGTGTATTTTCTCTTTTGTGGTAAAAACATCACAATACAAACAAGGTGTTGGTTGATGAGAAACTTAACATGAGCCAGCAGTGTGCTCTTGCAGCCCAGAAAGCCAACCCTATCCTGGGCTGCATCAAAAGGAGTGTGACCAGCAGGTCGAAGGAGGTGATCCTGCTCCTCTACTCTGCTCTCGTGAGACCTCACTCGGAGTATTGTGCGCAGTTCTGGTGTCCTCACCATAAAAAGGACATGGTACTGTTGGAATGAGTCCAGAGGAGGGCCACAAGGATGATCAGGGGACTGGAGAACTCCCGTATGAAGACAGGCTGAGAAAGCTGGGGCTGTTCAGCCTGGAGAAGAGAAGGCTGCATGGAGACATCATAGCAGCCTTCTAGTATCTGAAGGGGACTATAAGGGTGCTGGAGAGGGACTCTTCATTAAGGACTGTAGTGATAGGACAAGGGCCAATGGGTTCAAACTTAAACAAGGGAAGTTTAGATTGGATGTAAGGAAGAAGTTCTTTACTGTAAGGGTGGTGAGGTACTGGAATGGGTTGCCCAAGGAAGTTGTGAATGCTCCATCCTTGGCAGTGTTCAAGGCCAGGTGGGAGAAAACCTTGGGTGATATGGTTTAGTGGGAGTTGTCCCTGCCCATGGCAGTGGTGTTGGAACTTGATGATCTTAAGGTCCTTTCCAGCCCTAACTATTCTATGATTTTATGGTTCTACAGTTTATATGGAGAGAGGAAAAAGGAAAGGAATTATAGCTCAGTCTGCCTTGGAAGTTTTCATCAAAGTTCAGCCTGATGGAAAAATTGTGTTTTCAAGACCCTCAGTATTTAAAACAGGAAGACATTTTCTTTTTTCCTTCTTTCTTCATTTTTTTTCCAAAACAATACCATTTCTTTTTTCTGTTGAACACAGTTTTCAATAATTAAATGTTTCAGTTTGTCAGACTGTTTTGAGATTACTCACCTCTTATTTTTCATAAAATTTGTAAGATGGGAGCCTATGATTTTATTTTGCTTTTTTTTCAGTTGAAAAAATTTATTCATTTAGCAACACCTTCTATTACATCTTTACAATTTTCTGTCTATCTTGATTTCTGGAAAACTTAGCCACAATAAAATGAGAGGAGTGTAGGAAATGCAGACTGCAAGATGGCAGAGTACTGGGGTGGCTCTGATACAAGTTTAGTATCTGTAACCGCCAAAATTGGATTCCTTTCCTTTCCTACTACTCATCAACACATTTTCCTAGAACCTCAGTTTCCAAACAGTGGAAGGACAATACTTCGTGCTATTAAAATGAAGGGCTACTTCTGTTCATATGCATATTGGATTGCCTCAAATATGTTAGGTTATAGTGGAAGCAAAGATAATCTTTCTTTCTAAGAAGAAATCACAAGAAAGAAAAAATGTCTAAGGGCTTTCCAATCTGGAAATCTAAGCTTCTAAACAGGAAAAGTTTAAAAAAAAGAAGCAAACATAAGAAATTACAGAACTGACGAGAAATTACATCATCTATGAATAGGAGTTTTTAATACTATTATTTTTTGCTACCATGTTATCATCTGAGATGTTAAATGCCCTCCCAAGCCCTCTTAAATGTCTCTAAAGCACCCAGAAACCTATAAATGTTCTGTAGCTAGTATAGGACATTGGCTGTCACTGCCTAGTGCTGTATATTACTGCGCATATATATATTTATGTATATATATTTTAAGGAGGAAGTTCTTTACTGTGATGGTGATGAGGCACTGGAATGGGTTGCCCAGGAAAGTTGTGAATGCTCCATCCCAGCGGTGTTTAAGGTCAGGTTGGACAGAGCCCTGGGTGACATGGTTTAGTGGGAGGTGTCCCTGCCTATGGCAGGGGGGTTGGAACTAGATGATCTTAAGGTCCTTTCAAACCCTAACTATTCTATCATTTATGATATATGCACTATACTGATCCAGAAAACCCACAGGGAATAGAACTTGAGCAAGTGCAGGACCAGGGCTTGCCATTTTGATGTATTAAGGAAGTAATAAGGATTTGCTATTACTGAAGTGCAGTCATTGAGAATTTAAGGAGTAAATGTACTAAATTTCCATGACTATTAGCATTTTCCTATAACACTAGTCAAATTCTTATTAATTCATGCTGGCAAAGACATTGTAGCATCTAGATAATAAAGAAACATTTTATTAAAGACTTACTTTAGGTAAAATGTGGTTTTCAATATATATGGAATAAAAGTCACTCTGAAATGATAGCGTGAGTGAGTCCTTTGTTTTCCTTCACCTCTGTATAGTCATTGTAGCCACATGAATGTGGGAGAAAGAGGAAAAAAAAGAACAGTATTTGGTGCTTGTTCCTCTTGACTTGTAGAGCTGAATAGGAAAAACAAAGAGGCAATATACTTACATTGAGTTCATTTTCCAAGTCCCTGTGACAAAACTAACCTAAATGACCAAGGCAGTAAAAGCATTACTCATTCTGTTTTCTAAATGTCTACAGAGACGTTTTCTTATAGCAAATACAAGGGGGAAAAAAAAACAAACAAAAAAAAACTTTAAAAAAAAAAGGCTACTAGCTTACTGTAGGATCTGTCAGGCAAATGACAGTTTGTCTGGTTTATGGAAAAGATACCATTATAAGATTTGAATTCAGAGTTCCAAAACCAAAAATGTTAATCAGTCTCCCAGAGCTGTGTCAGCTGTGCATTATCAATGAATAAACTGTGCCTTCATAGACTTCAATTATCATAAGGTTTTTGTATTACATAAAGGTACATTTGCAGATTGAAAATTAAATAGCATAAATCTAGAATGCCATTTCTTACTTATTTCAGACAAAACTCAGTAACAATTCCATTGTTTAAAATATGTTTGTTTGTGTTTGCCCAGGCACATAACACATTATTTGTGTATCTGGTCATCCGCAGATGTGAAAGAGAATGAGGTTCATGCTCCATGATAGAATCTGGATTCTTCAGCAATTAATCACAGGTTTTTTTCATTCAAGTTACAGGAAAGCTTAAGGTATGGCAAAGCACCTGTACAGTACTGAACTATCTTAAGATCTTAAGTGTGATCACATTTACATTAGTAACAACGAAGAACACATTTTGCTATTTACTTATTTGAAGGAAAAAAAGATGTTTGTAAGAAATAAATGATCGTGAACAAAGATAGGGATCTAAGAGATATATATGCATAGCTAGAATTGTAGAATCATAGAATCATAGAATAGTGTTGGAAAGGACCTTAATATCATCTAGTTCTAACCACCCTGCCATGGGCAGGGACACCTCACACTACACCATGATACATGTATGCAGAAACATATGAAAGTATAAAAATTAAACATAAATAAATCCTTGAAAACCTTTACTAAAGCATTAGGGGTATTTTGTTGTTGTTGAGGCAGAACAATAAGATATCCAAATGCCAGATACCAGCAGAACAAAATTATTAACAATTTTGCAAAAATGGGACTTTTTCATAGTGGTTCATGAACTGACTGTGATTAAAGAAGACTACTTTTACAAAGAAAACAGATGGGCAAGAAATATTAATACATCCTGTTTATTCAAAACCAGAAAGGCCTCAGCTAAATTCCTGTTGTCAGGTTTGTACAATGTACTTGGAGAAAAAATTAGAACAGCTGAAGAAAGACCAGAGGATATCAAAGAGATGATCAGTGTCTAGAAAATACAGGTCCTCTGAAAAGATTTAATGAACAGGGACTGTTTGTCCTAATGAAGAAGAATCATGGAAGGAGCAAGGTGATATTATTTTTAATACCTAAAAGTATGATACAGAGAGGTGTCATGGTTTAAACCCAGTCACGCAGCTCGTTCACTCAATACCCCCTTCTTGCCCTCCCCCTACTACCAGAGGGACGGAGAGGAGAATCAAAAAGAATGCAACTCCCACAGGTTGAGATAAGAACAGTTTAGTAACTAAGGTATAACACAAATCACTGCTGCTACCACCAATAATAATAATGATAATGGAAATAATAAGGGAAGAGAATACAACATCTCAGCACCAGCTGATGGATGACTTGCCCCACTCCACCCGACCGAGCACCAACCGATACCTCGTCCAACCCCGCAGTGCCCTAGCCCTTCCAGGTAACTCTCAGTTACATCCTGGGCATGACATGCTGTGGTATGGAATACCTCTTTGGTCAGTTTGGGTCAGGTGTCCTGTCTCTGCTTCCTCCCAGCTTCCCCTCCTCCCTGGCAGAGCATGAGGCTCAGAAAAGTCCTTGGCCAGACCAAACATTTGAGCATTATCAACTCTGTTCCTAGGCCAAAAGTCAAAACCACAGCAATGCACTAGCTACTAAGGAGAAAAAATGACTGCTACTGCTGAACCCAGGACAAGAGGAAAGGAAAAATTTTTAAGGTACAAAAGAACTAATGGCCTTAAAACTTAATAGGGAAAAATTAGGTTAGATGTAACTAAAAATCCCAATGGAACCATGTAATAAAAATAGTAGAATATTTAAACACACTGACAGGCTGCTAAATCTCTTACGAGGGTCTTTAAATGAAGCTGGATAAGCATCTGTCAAAAACATTGTGAGTACAATTAATGCATCCTTGGAGCAGGGATTTCACTTCAGCTCTAAGATTCCGAAATCAATGCATAGTACACTGTTATTACAGGAGGAGGGAATTCATGTTTTCCTTGTGGGAGAAGTCTTTTAATCCATGTCTTAGGACATTGTTGCCTCTTTGAATCACTTTCAAAAGCAAGATAGAAAATTCATTAGCAGGTGTATTGTACTCCATTTAATTTTATCTTTTCATGGAGTTGTTAAACTAGAGTATTGTTCATAGTAACCAGCACCAGCTGGGATGGATTTTTTTTAAGCCTCAGAATATCCCCTGACAAATGAGAAGTTGGAGCTAAAACTTGTGCTGCACAGAAATATGTACATAGGAACTGTCATGTACATAGTATTACTGTCTCTTTTTTAATTAAAATTCACCAGTTTCAGAAGTTCTGTCTTTTTATATATAATGACATTCCCTTCATCTACCACTACTCAGAGGAGCACTGAGATGAGGCATCAGGTTAATTTATTCTTCATGAGAAATTAATTGAAATAATCTATTCTAGAAATGGAAATATCAAGGGTAATTGAAAAGGTCTAAATCCATTAATAAGTAACTGAAATTATCCTGTTTGAGGTCGTTGTGAGTGGTGGGAATGATATTTTGGTTATATAAGTTTTTTTTTCCCTTCTAGCATAGTTATTCCTTGCTTGCTTTGAAAACATTTTAGAAACCACAGCTATCAAGTATCCCCCATACTCATTTTGGTGACACTGAATTAATAGTGTTTCTGCTATTTGTCTTTAATTATTAGATACTTGTGCCACCATAATTATGATGTTTTCCTGGAAAGATATATTTTTTTAAAGGGTTTGGTTTTTTGTTATGCATTAGTATAAAGGAATTTTCTATCACCACTAATGATTCTTGGACTTCGTGTCATTAGCATATTCTTCTTAAAAGTGGTGAATGCTAAAGGTTATGTACTGTTTAGAATAAATTCTGTGATAATCAGCAGTATTTTGTCCCAAAAGGAAAACTCTCATACAGAGTGTATTTATTGGAACGGAAATATAAAGCTTTGATGTAAGTCTGTTTCAGAAGTGAAAAAGAAGCTAAACCAGACACAATGGTTTGTACAGACTGTGTGTTTCCAAATCTTTTTGACACTCTGTCCAGAAGAATCAACCAGGCAACCAAGTGGATTTGGAGGAGATTTCCTAAGTGATTTTAAAAAGTAACATGTTTTCTTAATTCATCAACTGTTATTAAATTAGTGTTCTCCCTTAACTGTCACCTCAGGTTTAATTCAAGCATAATTCTACAGTTATATCTAACCACAGGGCATGTATTCACAAAAAACATTTAAAATGCCTTTTTCTTTTGCAGATGTTCTCTGTGTATTATTCCACATTACAATTTTTCTTTTAATATTGTAGAACGGCAGTCCTATTAAGAAGATAGCGTTTAATAGTGTAAGTTACCTCCTTAGCTTAGAAACCATCTAGTATACCAAATAGATGGAAATGTCTTTCTCGTTCAAAGCAAGTGCTGTTATAACAACTTTCCCTCTAAATGGAAATGAGCGAAGATTTAAAGAAATTTGTATGTGTGTGTAAAAAAAATTGTAAAATATGCACAAGCATTCATGCGTGCATCCATACACATACACATCTATACACTCTTTTGTCCCTGATGCCTTTTTAAACATATCACATCCCATTCCCGTTCTTCAGGTCATGTCTGAAAGCACATTTGCCATTATGGCTCAAAAAGATTTTAAGCCGGTCACTTTTATTTGTGATGAATAAGCACCCCATTTTTTTTGGTGGATTTAAACATTCATATTTTGAAGAAATCCAGTCAGCATACAAGCCACTGGACAAACACGGCTCTTCCTCTTTCTTTCTCATTCTCAAAAACCCAGGAAACCTTACCAGATTAAGAGAGAAGAGATTGAATACTCACATCTGCTAGTTCTTCCAGTTACTTTACATTCTGAAACAATGAAATGTTCTGTAAATAGCATTACACTGAGCATGTACTCCCAGTAGGAACACTCACACACACAACACATACACATGTGGATGTATGCAATCATGTATATATACTACATATATGTATATACACACACATGGCAAAACCAGACAGGCACACTCAGCACCCACACACAAGCAAGATCAATGGCCTCATCCTATTTCCCTCCCTGGCTGATTAGGGTGAAGGTCTGTTAGTGGGAAATATATATGTGCAGGTGTACATGTGTGCAATGTGGATCCCTCTGGCAACTGGGCTCAAGGCACTGGGTCTGACTAGTAGCTGCCCCTGGATGCCAATCTTCCCAGTCTGCAGCAATTGGACATACAAGCCCCTGAGGCCACCACTGGTGCAGAAGCACACATATGCCAGATCCCCCAGTAGCTGGCCATGGACACACAGTCAGTCCTGTACTTCATCCTGAATCCTCCCCAGGTGCCTCATTCCTAAACACACACGCACACGTGTGTTTCACAAATGAGGACCCAGACCCCAGAGTCTCTCTGTCAGCTGGATGGGACACCCCTGGTCCCTCCAGCAGCCAACTCACATTTACAGACATGGCTGTAATGGTGTAACACACCCCTGGGTGCCAGGCCGCTTCACCTGCTCACTGGCTAGACCAGCTTGATCTTCACTAGTGCTCACACATTGGTTCACACACATTCACTCATTCCTGTTCCTGGCACCAGACACCAGTCTGTCAAGATAGTGTATTACCTAAAAGAGAGCTAGACATCCAGGGAAAAAAAAAAAACAAACATTCAGAGAATAGAGAAGATCAGGTTTGTGACCACCTGAGGAACGTGAAAATAATTAATGGGACCTGATGAGATGCATCCCAGAATCCTGAGGGAATTTGCTGATGTAGTTGCCAAGCACTCTCTATCATACTTCAAAAGTCCTAGCAGTCAGGTGAAGTCCCTGGTGACTGGAAAAAGGGAAACATTGCACCCATTTTTAAAAAGGATAGGAGGACCCTGGGAGCTACTGACTTGTCAGCCTCCCCTCTGTGCCCAGGAAAATCATGGAACAGATCTTCCTAGAAGCTATGCTAAGTCACATGGAGCACACTGAGGTGACTTGAGACAGACAGCATGGCTTCACCAAGGGCAAGTTCTGTCTGTCCAATCTCGTGGCCTTCTGTGATGGACTGACTACATTAGTGGACAAGGGAAGAACTGCAGACGTTGTTTATCTGGAATTCTATGAGACCTTTGACATGCTCTGCCAAAGCATCCTTCTTTAAATTGCCAAGATATGGATTTGATGGATGGACTGTTTGGTGGATGAGGAATTGGTTGGGTGGTCACATCTAGACGGTTGTGATCAAGAACTCAATGTCCAGAGGGAGATTGGTGAACAACTAGTGCACCCCAGGAGTGCCTACGGGGACCAGTACAGTTTAGTATCTTCATCAAGTATATAGTGGGATCAAGTGAACCCTCAGCATGTCCACAGATGACAGCAAGCTGAGTGGTGGGACAGGATGCCATCCAAAGGCACCTGGAAAAGCTGGAGAAGTGGGACCATGTGAAACTCATGAGGTTCAACAAGGTCAAGTATAAGGTACCACACCTGGGTTGGGGAAACCCCCAGTATTAATAGAGGCTTGGGGCTGAAGAGATTAAAAGTAGGTCTATGGGGAAGTGCTTGTAAATGTTTGTTGATTAAAAATGGTGTGAGCTGGTAATATGTGTTTGTAACGTAGAAAGCCAACTCTGTGTTGGGCTGCTTCAAAAGAAGTGTACCAGCAGATCAAGGGAGGTGATCATGCCCCTCTAGTCTTCTGTGGTAAGACTCTACCTGGAAAACTGAGTACCAAGGTTCCCAACAACATAAGAAGGACTGGGACCTGTTGGAGCAAGTCCAGATGAGGGCTATAACAGTTATCAGAAGGCTGGAGTACCTCTTGTATGGAAGAAGGGCTGAGGGAGTTGGACTTGTTCAGCCTGGAGAAGAGAAGGCTATGGGGAGACCTTGGTGCAGCCTTTCAGTACTTAAAACTGTTAAGTTACTTAGAGTTGTCATGGTTTAAACCCAGCCAGACAGCTCGTTCACTCACTCCCCCCCTTCTTGCCCTCCCCCTACTCCCAGAGGGACAGAGAGGAGAATAGAAAAGAATGCAACTCCCACAGATTGAGATAAGAACAGTTTAGAAACTAAGGTATAACACAAATCACTACTGCTACCACCAATAATAATAATAATGATAAAAGAAATAACAAGGGAAGAGAATATAACACCTCTCCACCAGCCGACCAATAACTCGCCCCCCCAGCCCAACCAAGCACCGACCAATACTTCCGCCAACCCTGCAGACTACGAGCCCTTCTGGGTAGCTCCCAGTTACATCCTGGGCATGATGTGCTGTGGTATGGAATACCTCTTTCTTTGGTCAGTTTGGGTCAGGTGTCCTGTCCCTGCTTCCTCCTGGCTTCCCCTCCTCCCTGGCAGAGCATGAGGCTCACAAAGTCCTTGGCCAGACCAAAACATCGCTTGTTATCAGCTCTGTTCCCAGGCCAAAAGTCAAAACACAGTGCTGCACCAGCTACCAAGGAGAAAAATGACTGCTACTGCTGAACCCAGTACATTATCCACCCCTTATTCCATACCATTCACGTCATGCTCAGATCCCATATTTTCAATATACCATCACCTTATCTAAGTGCACTGTTATCTTAGTGCATGGCCCAGTCCCTACAAAGCTGCTAAATCCATTTGGTCCATGATGTCAGGCTCCATCTCTTGTAACAGTCTTCCAGAGCAGGAGAGACTGTGTGCAGTGTTCAAACTCGTGAATAACCTGGGCAATAGTGTCCATTGCTAAGTCCACCCCTCGATCATGAGTCCATCTCTGTGTTGCATCTCTGCTCTGATGGCCTGAAGTGCCATGGGCCCACCAGGCTCAAAATAATTCACTGTCCCCTTCATCAGTTTCTGCAGCTTGTTGCTGGGGACTCCATACAGCTGCCTTCCATCTCCGATGCTTCCAAAGCACTGGAGGGGTCCAGTGGACTAGACACTTGCCCATACTGTCACACACACCCTGCCACTCATGACTGTCCAGCCTTGGGGAAAATCTCCTGTCCCTTCTATATTGTCATCTAACCCCAGACAAGACCCAAACCCTACTCTGCTTAACTTTTGAGATCAGACAAAATGGTCGTGGGTAAAACACAGTCTGTGTGTGTGCCAACACGCTGATCCCCATCACAATCAGCAGGCAGGTCCCAAGGATACCCAAAGGCCATTCACAACCTTCAGAACTCTCAAACGATGCTGCTGGACTTGTCACTGGGGCTGGTGTAGCTGCTGTGCTTGCCGGCTCTCCCACCACCAGCTTCTCTTTTCCTGAGTCCAGCTCTTCCTCCTCTGCCTGGCTGGGAAATGCTGCGTGGTCTCCTGCATCCTCCTGGGGCTCGGCGGGCGGCTGCCGGGAAATGCTCTCGGCCGTCGCAGGGCTCGGGTCCTCCGCGGGGCTCGGCTGCTCCTCGAGGCTCCGCTCCTCCGCCCCCTTCTCCCTCTGCTCGGCAGCCGCCTCCTTCGTCTCCTCGACCGCCCCGACCTTCTCCACCGGCAGCCGTCCCCTCGCGGCCTCCGGCCCCGCTCCCGCCGCCGTTTGGTCCCCGGGGCCGCTCTCCCGGGCCGCTTCAGCAGCCGCCGGCTCCCGGGGCCGCTCCCCCTCGGGTCCCCGCAGCCTCACGAAGATGGAGGCGAGGGCGAGGGCCAGGACGGTGAAGAGCAGCCTGACGGCCAGGTACAAGTCCACGGCCACGTCCGTCCCGCCCTGCTGCTGGAGCCCACCCGTGTTACAAGCCATTGCCATAAAGTACAGTGAGACAAGAACCTTAGCCCAGGCCCCACACTTGATAAACACTATCGCAGCAAATACCGTCTCTACGTAAGTTACAACATTCTGAAACTGTGAGATCAAGAGGAACGACTCTGAGAGCCAATAAATCATCATTGTGTCAAGTGACTATTAATCCAGTTAGATCTGTCGTTATCTCAACCCCTCATGCCCCACGCTGGGTGCCAAAAAAGAACTGTCGTGGTTTAAACCCAGCCAGACAACTCGTTCACTCACTCCCCCCCCTTTTTTCCCTCCCCCTACTCCCAGAGGGACAGAGAGGAGAATTGAAAAGAATGCAACTCCCACGGGTTGAGATAAGAACAGTTTAGTAACTAAGGTATAACACAAATCACTACTGCTACCACCAATAATAACAATGATAAAGGAAATAACAAGGGAAGAGAATACATCACCTCACCACCAGCCAACCAATAACTCCCCCCCCCCGCCCAGCCCAACCAAGCACCGACCGATACCTCCTCCAACCGTGCAGACTACCAACCCTTCTGGGTAGCTCCCAGTTACATCCTGGGCATGACGTGCTGTGGTATGGAATACCTCTTTGGCTAGCTTGGGTCAGGTGTCCTGTCTCTGCTTCCTCCTGGCTTCCCCTCCTCCCTGGCAGAGCATGAGGTTCACAAAGTTTTTGGCCAAACCAAAACATCATTGTTATCAGCTCTGTTCCTGAGCTGAAAGTCAAAACACAGCACTGCACCAGCTACCAAGAAGGAGAAACATGACTGCTACTGCTGAACCCAGGACACAAGTAAGATGGGGACAAAATTTTTTGCAGAGCCTATTGTAACAGGAAAGCAGGTAATGTTTTTAAACTAAAATATGATAGATTTAGACTACATATAAGGAAGAAATTTTTATTGAATGTGGTGAAATAGCGGAACAGATTGCCCAGATAGGTGGTAAATACCCTATCCCTGGAAACCGCAGCAACGTAGTTAACTTTTACAGGCAATTATATCTATGTACTAAGCCATGCCTAGGAATACTGTATTTAAATAAACTCTCTGTCTCCCCGTAGAAATATGAAGATTCATCTCAACTGCCTTTTTACAAAGGAAAATATTAATGCTTATAAGCTTCTGGTGAAAATACATAAATTGAACAAAGAAAGAACATACTGTCTTGGAAGTGAACATCAAGCTCATATGGACATCACTTAAAAAAAAACAAACATAATTAGACAAAATTTTCATTTAAGATGTGAAGAACTTCAAAGCTATGCTTTTAATGACAGAAACAAAGATCAGCAGTTCTAGGTTAAAGTCATATTGCATATTGCTGGCACTGCACATTCAAAGGTGGGGGGGGGGGGGCGGGAAGTAGTTGAATTATTGTTCAAGCTTTCTTACTTGTGTTCCTAGTCTTATTCTTCTTTTCCCCAGGATGTATTTATAAAATCTTGATTTTTTTTGTCCACATTGTCACAAGTGTTGTGCCTTTTGCAGCAGTAACGTAACATTGAAAAGTCTTAATCCTGTATCTTTAAATTTACAGGTAGAAGAGCAAAAGCAGATCTGACCTCAGGACACACTTATCTTTGGGGTTCAGTTTCAGGTTCCTTTTGATCATGGCACTATAAACCTGTCATTTCTGTCTGTCATTTTATAAGCTACTTAAATCTTCATATCATAGGTAATTCATTAGCAGGTTGATATATAAAAATTATTTGTTGATAATCGGATTGATCAATTCTATTTCAATGTCCAGAAGTTAATATTTATGTATAAACCCTGTGCAACTCACAGTACCTTAGATTTAAATCTCATTATTCTCTTGAGGGCAATGGCATGACTACATTCCTCATCTTACAACTGGCAAAAGAAAGAGATATAAATGAATGGGATTCAACCCAGGCTGGCTTTGTGGTTGAGAGAGAGACACATTGTTCCTTCACAATGTAGACATTTAGGAGTAAATCAGATGAATCTGCTCTAGAAAAAAGTTTTTCTCTAGTGATTATAATGGGTGACCAGGTGATGTAGACAGCTTTATCATTGCTGACTAAAGCTGTAGGTGAGGGAAACCTCGCAGAGAGCTCTTAAGACTATTTCAAGTTCACAGAAGATGTCTTGCAAAAGGAATTCAGTGTAGGTCCATCAGGTCTTATTTGTAGAAATTCTTTCCTGAAAAAAGAATTGTCCTGACAGTCTAAAAGTATAGCATTTACAGGATTTGGAGGGTGAAGACTGAGAGTATATTGCTGGGAGGTGTCCTGGGTTCAGCAGTAGCAGTCATTTTTCCCCTTCTTGGTAGCTGGTGCAGTGCAGTGTTTTGACTTTCAGCTCGGGAACAGAGCTGATAACAAGCGATGTTTTGGTTTGGCCAAGGACTTTGTGAGCCTCATGCTCTGCCAGGGAGGAGGGGGAGCCAGGAGGAAGCAGAGACAGGACACCTGACCCAAACTGACCAAAGAGGTATTCCATACCACAGCACGTCATGCCCAGGATGTGACTGGGAGTTAGCCGGAAGGGCTGGGAGTCTGCAGGGTTGGAGGAGGTATTGGTCAGAGCTTGGTTGGGCTGGGGGGGCGAGTTATCGGTCGGCTGGTGGTGAGATGATGTATTCTCTTCCCTTGTTATTTCCTTTATCATTATTATCACTGGTGGTAGCAGTAGTGATTTGTGTTATACCTTAGTTACTAAACTGTTCTTATCTCAACCCGTGGGAGTTGCATTCTTTTCGATTCTCCTCTCCGTCCCTCCGGGAGCAGGGGGAGGGCAAGAAAGGGGGGGAAGTGAGTGAACGAATTACCTGACTGAGTTTAAACCACGACAGTTCTTTTTGGCGCCCAACGTGGGGCACGAAGGGTTGAGATAACGACAGATTTGACTGGATTAATAGTCACTCATCACAATGACGATTTATTGGCTCTCAGAGTTGTTCTTGTTGATCTCACAGCTTCAGAATGTTGTAACTTACGTAGAGCCGGTATTTGCTGTGTTAGTGTTTATCAAGTATGGGGCCTGGGCTAAGGTTCTTGTCTCACTGTGCTTTATGGCTATGGCTTGTAATACGGGCGGGCTCCAGCAGCAGGGCGGGACGGACGTGGCCGTGGACTTGTACCTGGCCGTCCGGCTGCTCTTCACCGTCCTGGCCCTCACCCTACTCTCCATCTTCGTGAGGCTGCGGGGAGCCGAGGGGGAGCGGCCCCGGGAGCCGGCGGCAGCTGAAGCGGCCCGGGAAAGCGGCCCCGGGGACCAAGCGGCGGCGGGAGCGGGGCCGGAGGCCGCGAGGGGACGGCTGCCGGTGGAGGAGGTCGGGGCGGTCGAGGAGAGGAAGGAAGCGGCTGCCGAGCAGTGGGAAAAGGCGGCGGAGGAGCCGAGCCCCGCGGAGGAGCCGAGCCCCGCGGAGGAGCCGAGCCCCGCGGCCGAGCCCAGCCCCGCGACGGCCGAGAGCATTCGCCGGAAGCCGCCTGCCGAGCCCCAGGAGGATGCAGGAGACCACGCAGCATTTCCCGGCAAGGCAGAGGAGGAAGAGCTGGACTCAGGAAAAGAGAAGCTGGCGGTGGGAGAGCCGGCAAGCACAGCGGCTACACCAGCCCCAGTGACAAGTACAGCAGCATCAACTGAGAGTTATGAAGGTTTTGAATGGCCTTTGGGTATCCTTGGGACCTGCCTGCTGATTGTGATGGGGATCAGCATGTTGGCACACACACAGACTGTGTTCTACCCACAACCATTTTGTCTGATCTCAAAAGTTAAGCAGAGTCAGGTTTGGGTCTTGTCTGGGGTTAGACGACGATATGGGGGGACCAAGAGATTTTCCCCAAGGCTGGACAGTCATGA